CTGGGTGGGCGTGGGGCCCGGAGCACCCACCTAGCCGCCCACCCGCACCCCCCCCCAGGTGACGTGCACGCTGGTGGCTGCCTTCCTGCACTTCTTCTTCCTCTCCTCCTTCTGCTGGGTGCTCACCGAGGCCTGGCAGTCCTACATGGCCGTCACCGGCCACCTCCGGAACCGCCTCGTCCGAAAGCGCTTCCTGTGCCTGGGCTGGGGTGAGCCTCAGCACGTCCTGCTCCTCCGGCCGCCTGCCACCCCCCCCCAGGCACTGGCCCCATGGGGAGGGCAGGTGACCAGTGACCCTGTCTTTGAAGGGGGGATGGGTGTGGGCTGCTGTGGGCTCTATTGGAAGCTCTGCCCCCGGCATTTCAAATACCAGCTGGGTCACCTGTGGTGGGCGGGTTTCGGCAGAGCTTCCAGACTCAACACACTAGGAAGAAAGGCCCGGTGACCTAGTTCTGAAGATCCCTCCCTGGCAGCCCTCTGGGTCACCCAAGGCTCATCGGCCATCGTAAACTCACCATGGCCAAACAGTGGGCAGCAGCAAAGGGGAGATGGCGCAGGCCCAGACACCACTGCCCCAGGTTGGACATGGCCACTGTGAGGCAGAGCCCACAGCATGCCCGTGGGATGTGGGGCCTGGGGCTGAGGCCCCACCTGACCAGCACCTCGTGTGATCACCACTGAGGCACGCTGCCCCCAGCTCTGCAGACCCTCCTCTTGCCCCCCCCCACCTCGCTGCCTGGGTGCCACCTCATGATTCGGGGACTTGGAAGCCCCCTCCTGCAGGTGGGGCCTGACACCGGTCCCCCTGGCTTCCAGGACTGCCTGCACTGGTGGTGGCCATCTCCGTGGGATTCACCAAAGCCAAAGGGTACAGCACCATGAACTAGTGAGTGTGCCCCCCATCCCCACCCTTGCACCCACCCTGGGGCGTGGCCAAGAGACGAGGGCTGGGAAAGGCACCCAGGGTGCTGGGCACCCATCTCACGATGGCAAAGCTGAGGCTCTGAGAGGCAGGGCTCCCTGGGCTGCAGGCTGAGCCACAGCCTACTGGCCCCTCCTCGGCAGCTTCCCCAAGGTTGAGGGAGAGAGGCGTCTGTGAGCCAATCTGTGGGCCTCTCTGAGCCTCAGTTTCCCTACCGTGAGGTGTGAGAAGCAGATTGGATCCAGCAGGTGGGAAGTGCCCCCTGGCTCAGCCTCTGGTGCCAGGAGAGAGGGTGGGTGCTAAAGAACATGGAGCCAAGGAGCCTGGGTTACCCCAGGGGCTGAGGTGGGAGGGGGGTGCCTGGGCTGGGAGGGCCAGAAGAGTAGGGAAGGAGGGGACTGAGGCCTGGATGGGGGTTGGGGAGAGGGGAGCAAGGAGTGGGGTGGGGACGCTATTGAGTCAGGACAGAGGCAAGAGGACACAGGAGGGACTCGCAGCCTACAGGGCAGGACTAAGGGGCTCCGGGTGCGTGTCAGGGGCAGCCTGGGGGGAGTTCTGAAGGGTCCTGTGAGCCTCTGTGGTTGGGAAACATGGGACCGAAAGGGCCAGGCCTGGAGGGGAGGGGGGGCCAGGTGCGGGGTCGTGAGCTGGGTTGAGTGGGCAGCCTCAATCTGGAATCAGGGAGACCAGGGGAACCTGCAGAGAGGCCAGGAGAAACAGGTGGGGAGGGGGAGGGGGGAGGACAAGGTCCCTGCAGCACCCGAGTGTGGGGGAGAGGGAGGGGCGCCCACTGACTAACCAGCCTGTCTCCCCACCCCCACCCCCTGCAGCTGCTGGCTTTCTCTGGAGGGGGGCCTGCTGTACGCCTTCGTGGGACCGGCGGCCGCTGTCGTGCTGGTAGGCATGATACACACACACCCCGAATCCCACAGTGGGTCCAGCCGTCTGGGTGCCCCTTGGGTGGCCCTGTCCCAGGGGCTCGGGCAGCATTGAGGTGTCCTGTCCCCGGGAACAGGCACTGGCCATGAGCAGTCCCAGTGTAGAACCCTTGAGGAGCTGTGAACGGCATTGTTGACCGCCAAGCCGGAGGCGGGCGGAGCGGCAAGTGCCTCAGGGCCGAGGCTGCGGGTCCCAGGTGGTGCCACGGCCAGCACCCCTTTCCCTCAGGGCCCCCCGACTCTCTCATACTGCTGCTCGGGGAGCAGCCAGACCCTCCAAGATGAGCAAGAGACCCCAGGGGCTCCCGAGGACAGGGCTGTCCCTCTATCCCAGCACACTCACCTACACCGCCGCAATCCCTCCTGGGGGACGGTCCTGCTGCTCGGGCCCCGGGGGGACAGAGGCCACAGTACTGCTCACCTCAGTGCTCCATGGTCAGGCCCCAAACCTCCTGGCTCATATCCTGGGACATGATATATCTGAGTGGTCGGCCGTGGGCGTGGGCGTCGGGTGGAGCCCGGGGGCCCTGTGCTGACCACTGCCCCACGCTGGCAGGTGAACATGGTCATCGGGATCCTGGTGTTCAACAGGCTGGTCTCCAAAGATGGCATCACCGACAAGAAGCTAAAGGAGCGGGCAGGGTAGGGCGGCAGCCCACACTGGGCCTCGGTCTCCCCACAGGCCCCGTCTGGTCCCCAGAGCCCACCCGCAGACCCTGCCCTTCCGGAGGCTGTGGGGGAGGGAGGTGCCCGGTGGCATCTCCTTCCCATGGTGCACTACTAGAGCAGGGCCCTTGGCCTGGTGTCACTGGCCAAGCTGCCCTTGTGCTTTGGGGCCTGAGTCCCCAAGGACAGCCCACTGTCAGAGTGACAGACCCAGGCCCGCCAGGGGGGCCTTCACCCTGGGCAGGAGGACAGGGGTGGGCGGTCAGGCAGACTCCTCTTCCTCCCTGAGAACGGGGGGGCGGGATGGGGGCAGAGCAGTGCCCTGAGGGTCACAGGGATGGGTGGAGGTGCTTGGGACTGGTCACCCCCAGGGGACAGCCATGGTAACTCAGGAAGGGCAGGGCCCTGTGTCCCTCCCGCCCCTCTGCTGTTGCTGTGTGTGTGTGTGTGTGTGTGTGTGTGTGTGTGTCCCTGGGGAGTGTCCCACGGGCCTCCCACCACCACCACCACCCTCCTCCCCCACCCCTCCCCCACCTTTTGTCATCGCTTTCTCTGTCTCTCTGTCTCTGGGCCCCCTGTGGGTTCCAGCCAAGCCAGCCGTGGGGATGGCATGCTCCTGAAGGACCTCACAGGGGCCTGGGTCCGGGTCTCGGTCCCCACCCCCACACTCTCTGCCCGGGCTCCTGGTCTGTGAAATGGGCATGGGCAGGTACTCCCCAGGGCACTGTCAGCACCATGCCCTCCAGTCCCGCCCCGACAGGCTCATTGTCCCGCCCTCTAGACCAGCCGCCCGGCCTCCAGCCCCGCCCCGCAGGCTGTCTGCAGCCCCACCGAGGTCCTAAGAGAACTTGAGAATGGGCGCCAGGGCCAGGCAGGGAGCAGAGGCCCCTAGTGCTCCATCAAGGGGCAGCCCCTTGCCCATGCTGCCACTGCCACCTCACAGACCAGAGTCCACCTTCCCTGAACCAGCCAGCAGCCAGACCCTGACCCTTCAAGGACACAGCAGGTCCTGGGCAGGGGGTCTGTACCTTGTGTGAACTTTCCTGTCCGGGACAGGGACCCTTCCCTGTGAGCAGAACCACAATGGCCAGCCTGCCCTGCACACGCTGTCCATTACATGCCCTCAGCCTCTCTGTGGTCAGGAGGGCGTGCGGGCCCCTGCGGCCCTGCTGGGGGGCTGCCCTGAGGCCAGGGCCCGAGGAAGGCCCGCCTGCCGGCCTACGGGGCACCGCTACATCAGCACAGGCTCTCTCTTGTCTCAGTCTCTGATTTCACTTGCAGTCCGCTGCTCGAGCCCCCGCCTGGGCGCACCCTCAAATGTACCAGGTGTGGAGTTCTCTCTGCGGCCGACGCCAGCGCCGACGCTACTAGTAACGCCATGTTAGTGCCCTCGCCCCCACCCCCACCCCGGGCTCCTCCTCAGACACGCTGCCTGTCTGCTCCCCTACCTTTCTTCTCCTCAGCCTGCCTGGACCCCAGCAGCCCTGCCTGTCCCCTCCCCCAGGACCTTGCACACAGGACGTGGGAGAGCAGGGAGGCCCCTCGGCTGTGGTGACACAGGGCCAGGGCTGGCTTTGAGGCATGGGCTCTGGAGTCACCCTGCCCAGCATATAGCAACCCCTGCCCTCCCCTGAGCCTAAGCCTGGCTAGTGGGAGGGGCCCCAGGCATATGTGCCTGTGGGAGTGTGCATACATATGTGCGAGTAATAGCTGCGAGCAAGGATGAGTGTGTATAAGTATGTGCACGTGAGTGCAGGTATGTGTGTGAGTGTGGAAGCCCATACATATGTGCTCATGTGTTATCTGAGTATATGTGTGCGTATGAGTTCGTGAGTGTGTGTGACTGTGTGAATTGTGCATGTATGTGTTATCATTTGTGTATGTGAGTGAGCATTGTGTGTATGTGTTTTTGTGAGCATGGGTGAGTTATGTGTGAGCCTGGGGATATGTGTGCATGTGTGTGTCAGCGTGTGTGAGTCTGGGGGGTGTCTGTGTGTGAGCATGTTTGTGTCTATATTTGTGAACATGTGTGGGTCTGTGTGTGAGGAGGATGAGACTGTGTGTGTGTGTCTGTGTGTGAGGAGTGCCTGGGTCTGTGTGTGTATTTGCGAGCATGTCCGGGTGTGCATGTGAGTGAGGAGGGTGTGAGCAGGTACCCCACCTGGCTGACGTGCTAAATGCCTGTGTTAGGCTGGGTCAGAGGGCCTGGCTCAGGTGGGAGGGGCCGTGGGAAGGGGGGGAGGGCTGCCCCCAGGGCCTCCCTGAGCTCAGGGACATGGCAGCACCCAGAAGCTCTGGTCAGTGCTGGGGCCTGAGGGCCGGAGCCTGGGAGCCGGAGCCTGGGAGAGGTGGGCTCCTGGGTGGGATGGGCCCCTAGGGGAGGGGGGACTGGTGAAGCGAGTCGGGCTGTTGAGGGGCCTTGAGGGCCAAGCCAGGATTGGACCTGGGCCGTGCTGGCTTGTTCCCAACAGAACGTGCTTGCATGTGCCCCGGCCTCGGGGAGTGGCTGTCAACAGTGCTCCTAAGTTACAGGAGGGGCTTTCTACCAATCTGTGGGAAGCTGGGGGTAAAGTGACAGTGGACTGTCCAAGAACGCCTGGACGCTCCTCCGCACCCCGGTCTCAGTCCCATCAGGACAGGGGCTTCCAAGGGGATTAGATTCCAGGCAGGTTGGCACAGGCCATGGTGGCTGTTCGGGGACTCCCGTGGGGTGGTTGTTACGGAGTTTCTTGGTACAGGGCAATCCTGGGGGCTTAGCACGGAGGTTAAGAGAATGGGAACCTGTTAGGGAGAAATGGGCCCGAAATCTGCACCCCAAAGTTTCCCATCCACACCACACACCTGCACAGCTGTGTCTCGGGAAACCTCACCCCATCCACCCTAAGCCCCAATCTTGCCCCCCTCAGATGTCTTCCTTCCCCCCCTCTTCTCAGGAGCTCCATAAGACTCCCTCCAGGAAGCCCGAGTCAAAGAATGCAGAGGGTCAGAGAGATGGGACCCCTCAAGCAGAAAGTTCTGTGCCCCAGAACAGTAGCTTCTCATCTGAATATTTTGGTTTTGTAAAAGTGTCTATGATGTAATACTTTTTTTTTAATCAATTTATTGGGGCTCATACAATTCATCACAATACATAGATCAATTGTATAAAACACATCTATACATTTGTTGCCCTCATTATTCCCAAAATTCGCTTGCCATGTAATACTTTTTTAAAAAACTAATCCTCGCCTAGCTCACCCAGACACACATGACCTCTTTAAACACTGCATCTTGCTCTCTCCCCTCTGACTGGCCACGTGTCTGTCGAGCGTTGGGTTTAACTGGGGGTCTCTGACTGGGTTAAGCCGAAGTCGCTGGCTGCTTTATCTGCTGGGCTTCCAAGCCACCCCCACCCGACACCCCTTACTTTACTGTTACCAAACTCACAGTCCAAGAATCTCGCTTCTCCTCCCCCCAAATCACACGTCCCACTGGGCCTGGGACCAAATCGGAAGGGATAACCTCAAACGCTCTCCACCGGCTCAGGGTGATTCACCCGCCAGCGTCCTGCCAGCTCAGGCTCCGGCAGTCCTTCCCCAGCGCCCTCCCTCGCTCTGCTTCTCTGTGGCCCAGACATGCCCTGTGGTGACCACACGCACTCGCAGACCACCCTCACAGTCGGCGGCTTATTAAGGGGCAGGATGCCCCAAAGGCTCAGAAGAGAGGGAGGTGGAACAGTCACCCTCCCTCTGTGACAGCCAGCCTTGCTCTTTAGGGTTCCAGTCCTCTGCCAGGGGGTGACATCACTCTGTAGCTTTTCTCTCCTCTCTGCCTGCTCCTCTCAGCCTCCCAGATGTCGGGGAGTCTCGTAGGTCTGGGCACCAACCCCTCATCAATTCAAGGGATTGCCCACCCACGAACTGGCCAGTCCCCTCCGGGCAGGCCACAGATACTTCATTTGCACAGTAACATCCCATTGCAGATCCTGTGGGCCAGTCCCAGGGCCAGACACGGGACCCAACCACCACAGTGGTTTCCAGCTCAGCCAGGAATTGCAGTCACCCAGGACTAGAAACTTGGGGCAAGAGTAATTCGTTGGAGTTTAGGGCCACAGTCTCAAAGCCACACACAGGAAGTGAGTTGCCACCTGGGCTGGAGCCTGAGTGGGGGGTCATGGAGCTGCCCGGGTGAGCCTGAGTGCTGGGCATCGGGTTCCGAGCACCCTATGAGAGTGGCTGGAGGGGGTGGGCAGGGCTGGGTGGGACCTTGCAGTTAGAGATGGAGGAGGAGGGCTCCTGGCTGTGCCCAAGTAGGGACAGGGCTGGGGACATGACTGGGGTGGGCCCATGGGTCCAGGAACTGGGCATGCCTTCTGAGCTTGGGGGTCCCTGTCCCTGAAAGACCCCCGGCCCTCACAACCCTGGTGCCTGTCTCCTGCTGCCCTTGGCCTTACCCCTTCACCCCTGTCTGGACCCCTGGGGAGGCTTGTGGGGCGGTTTAGAGCCCCCCCACCCCTCAATGAAAATGCTGTAAGCAGCTACCCCCAGGTGCCATGGCCAGGGGTGGCCAGGCCAAAGACCACCAGGGCCCCTTGCTGTGGGCAGAGGGTGGCAGGGACCCTCCTGTCGGGACGTGTGCCAGAGCAGAGGGCTGGGTGCAGGGGGTGAGCCTGCCCAGGGTGCTGCTGGAGGGCTTCTTGCCGGAGGTGCTGGGTAGAGGGCACAGGGCATGAGCTGTCAAGAGGAGGAACCCCATCCTTGCTCCGTTTCTGTCTGCTCTGCGTCTCCGCCCTGATTCCTGTCTGCCATCTGTCTGTCTGTCCACCTGTCTGCCACCGGCTGCCTCTCGGGCTTTCCCGTCTCCCTCTCTCCTTCCAGGGCCAGTGTTTGGCTGCCCTGCCAGCAGCCCAAAGGCTACCTTGGACTAGCAGGTACCCCAGGCAGCTGGGCCTGGACCCCTGCCTGGGGGCCTGAGGGGTGTCTGATCGGGACCACCTGTACCTCTTGGACAGTCAGGGAATGGGGGCTCCTCCCAGGGCCCCCCAGCCCACTGGGAACCCTTGAGCTGGTGGGGGTGGAGAGGGCCCCTCCCTGGGAGAGGAGGCAGTGAGGCTGGGAATGCGGTTCTGGAAGAAAGGGTGAGGGGACAAGCCCGGGCATCCCCCTGGGGCAGGGGTGGAGAGCGCAGGGGAGCAGGGCCCTCCAGGGGGCGCCCTGACCCCCGTGGCCACGGTCCCCAGGGCCTCACTCTGGAGCTCGTGCGTGGTGCTGCCGCTGCTGGCGCTGACCTGGATGTCCGCCGTCCTCGCCGTCACCGACCGCCGCTCCGCCCTCTTCCAGATCCTCTTCGCAGTCTTCGACTCGCTGGAGGGCTTTGTCGTCGTCATGGTGCACTGCGTCCTGCGCAGAGAGGTGGGCGGGCGGCCGCAGGGGCGCGCGCAGGTGCGGGAGGGGCTCGCGACCCGGCAGCCCTGCCCAGGGATCCAGGTGCAGAGCCCAACGCCCAGGGTCCCTTCTGTCAAGAGCATCCGAGGGTTCTCGGGGGCCGCTCTGTCAGAAGTGAAGGGCTAGGCCGGTTTTCAGGGTGCCTCTAGGCGGATTCGAATCTCCGACGTCAGGTGAGCAGCAGCTCGCTAACCACCTGCAGCAGCTGGGCTCAGTCCCGAGGGCTGAGCACGCGCGGGCACGGCCAGGCTGCTCCCAGACAATATGCTCAGGAACTGCCCGTTGGCAGCGGCTCCCTAAGTGGCGGGTGCGTTCAGTCCACCACCTCGTGGAAGAGCAGGCAGCCTGGCCCAGGTCTGCCGCACCCTGAGGGCACCACCTAGCCCAGTGGACACGGCGTGACCCCTGAGGGGAGCCGACAGAGGCCTGGGGCCCTCGGGAAGGGTGACAGAGGGGAGCCCCCTCAGCCTGCCCCTGTGCCCACAAATGCCCAGCTCCACTTCCTTCACAGAGCCCATCCAACTTACAGAGGGCTGAGTTGTGTCCCCAAAGGTGCGGCCACGTCTGTTTTAAGCTCTGGTCCCCTTCCGGAGAGCGTGGGGGTGCAGCTCCCCGAGTGTGAGCGCTCGTGCCTCTGGCCCTGGCCCAGGACCCTCCCGACAGACAGCTGCACATGCTGCAGGGTCTGGGGACGCACACAGGGGTGGCTGTCCTCTGATGGGGCCCGGGCACCCCCGGGCGGCCAGCATCCGGCAATGTGGGGGGGATGTCGCTGGCCGGGCTGCACGGACACTGAGGGAGACTGCGTCCTGCTGTGCCAGGTCCAGGAGGCCGTCAAGTGCCGCATGGTGGACCGGCAGGAGGAGGGCAATGGCGACTCAGGGGGCTCGTTCCAGAACGGCCACGCCCAGCTGATGGTAGGACCCCACCCACCAGGCGCTGTCCGCCTGTGGCCCCGAGACCACAGCTGTAGAGACTGGCCCAGGGACGCCCGTTGGGACGGGGCCCAGTTGTCAGGTCTGCGGTGCTGGCGGCCCATGGGCTCCCCATTCACCCAGCCCCTGTGTGTGCTAGCTTCTGCCCTGCCAGCCCCCACACGCCCCACATCCCTCAGGGCGGCTCTGACCTGGCTGGGCCAGCCTCCTCCTGCAGTCCCTGCCTCCAGGGAGCAACGGACAGCAGTGGAGGCCTTGCAGCCTGGCACCCCCTCCCCTCCACGGGCTCCTTAGCTGGTTTTGTTGTGTCTGCTGGTCCCCAAGGGCCTGGACTCCCCCAGGCAGAGGCTTGGTGGATGGCAGTGGCCCTGGGGGAGGGAGAAGGATTGGCCTCATCCCAGTGTCCCATCCTTCAGGAAGCTCAGGGGGTCTGTTTCTCCCCAGAGGAAGCCCGGTCCAGGGCTGCTGGGGAGAGGTTTGGCCCCAGGGACTCAGCCCTTGCCCCCACCTGGGCCTCTCCTGGGCCTGCCATTGCCTCCTGGGAAGATCCCTTAGCTGCTGATGACTGGGCCCACTGCTGTGTGATGGATGGGATGCCGGGAAAGGGGCACTGGGGGGTGGGGTGGGGGTGTCTGTGTCTGAGCCCACCTGCTTCTCCCTGGTGGGCTCCTCAATGTTGCACGGGTCACAGTGGCCCCAGGGCTCTGCTGAGGGTGGCCTGGGACAGGTGGCCTTGACGGGGTGCCAGCTGTCCTGCCCCACTGGTTCCTGGGCCCCAGCAGAGTCCTCCCTTGTACCTGAAGCCGGGGAGCCTGGCTGCTGGGGGGATGCCTGCACTCCCCAGCTGACTAGTCCACAAGGCCCTTGGAGGCAAAGCACACATGCACGTGGGCACACACGTGTGTGCACGCACATGCACACAGGGGCAGGAGACAGCAACCTCCCGTCCAGTTGACCAGCCCACAGGCACCACGGATCTGCTTCGAGCAGCTGACCCCTTTGTGATCCAGCCACATAGCCCCTGCACCCCAGCATGCCGCCCACAGAGCCCCTCAGCAGGGCCCTACCGGGCCTCCCTGACAGCCTATCTCTGTCTTGCAGACCGACTTTGAGAAGGATGTGGATCTGGCCTGTAGATCAGGTGAGCGCCTGACAGGTGAGAGCGACAGGTAGCCCTGCCGGGCCCACCTGCTTCTTTCTCTTTTCTCTGTGCATCCGTCTGTCCCCATCCCACCCGGGCCCCACATCCCACATGGACAGAGGGAGGTGACACAGGC